AGAGAGAGAGAGAGAGAGAGAGAGAGAGAGAGATACACACACACACACACACACACACACACACACACACAGAGAGAGAGAGAGAGAGAATAGACCAGGCTGGCCTCAAACTAACAGTGATCTCCCTGCCTCTGCCTCTCAAGTGCTGGAATTAAAAGCGTGTGTCACTGAAGCCTGGCTCAAGTGTAACTTTTGTGTGTATAAGTGTTTCATCTGCATGTATATATGTGCACCACACACGTGCCTGCTGCCAGAAGAGAGGGTGTGGATCTCCTGGAACTGAAATCATGATGGTTCTGAGCAGCTCTATGGGGACTGGAAACTGAACCCAGGTCCTGTGTAAGAGCAGCAAGTGCGCTCTTAAGCACGGTGCCGTCAATCCACTCCCTCCCCACAACTTAAGTTTTTGTTCTTAGTTTTCCTTGAGCCTTTATCACCAACTTCCTGTTTGCCTGCTAGGGAGTGCTAGCATATAAAGCCAAACAGAGGAAAATGGGTATAAATGAAAAAAGTAAAAAATAGGTATTGCTTCCTTTCAGTCCCCTCACACTTAGCCATCTGCTTTAGTCAGTGGCAGTATAAACCCCAAGAAGAAATCAAAAACAAAATCCACTTACCTATGAAGAGCATCATGAGATACAGCTTCAGCACGTAAGGCAAACAGGTGGATATGTCGAATGGCAGCACAGAGGAGTTGGAGCCAAACGACTCAAAATAAGGCAGTGACTGATAGATGGTAAATGCTGTTTAAAGAGAACAAAGATGGTGAAGATTCTCCTACGAGTTACAGATGTGTGTGCTTGTGCAGCTTCAGTGAAGGAGCTTTGGAGTCAGCAATGACAGCTTTGTGGTGGCTGCTGGATCCTGCAGTTAAAGCTGCAACTTGATGTAGAAGTCTATGGGTGCTTTTGTTGCTTAAGTTGTTCTAGCATTCTGAATTAGTAAACTATTGCCCATTGTATACCTGCTGTCAAATCCACACATTTCTTGCTTACATAGAAAGACTGTGTAGCACTTCTTAAAATGATGACTTAAAAGTACAGTTCTCGCCTCGCTCCCAAATAGGGAGACAGTCAGGTATGGGAAGCGCTACGTAATTTTCCCCTTGGCATGAGATGAAACACGTTTAACAGCGGAGACTCTGAGAGGCTCTGCAGTGATGAAACAGACCTCCCATCATGTCACGACTGGCCTGAGAACGGCTTCTTTCTCTTCAGCCCTAGAAGTACTTAGCACGAACCTGGAGCAACTCTGAGAAATGTTGACGTAAATTAGTCTGTGGGACAAGGCTAGTGTAGTGTTACAAATAAAGGATCCAAATACAAATAGAGGACCCATAAATAATATTTCATGCAGTAAAATGACATGCTGTAGTTATCTAAGCTGCTGCCACCTGGGGAAGTGAAGTAAATGTACTTAGATTTTTTTATTTTATGTGTATTACTGTCTTGCCTGCATGTCTGTAAGTACACTACATGCATGCAGTACCCATGGATGCCAGAAGAGGGTGGTGGATCCTCTGGGACTGAAAATACAAACAATTGTTAACTGCCACGTGGGTGCTGAGAACTGAACCTGGGACTTCTAGAAAAGCAGCCTCTGTTCTTAGCTGCCAGGCCAACTCTCCGGCCTTGTGGTGCACTCTTTTTACAGTTCCCTATTAGTCTGGAGTTGCTTCAAAATAAAAAGTGGTTGCAATGTGATAAATTCAGTCAGTAGCCGAAGCAGATAGATAGGGATGAGTGGCATTGGTGCAGTACTTCCAAAGGACACCACACACGCCATTAAGTTTAACAAGGGTGGTCTCCAAGTCTCCAGCATTCTGACATAGAAGTGATTGCTTGGATATTTATATGAGCTTTGTTAATTTGTTGCATTTTCCAGACATGGAAAATACAGCTTTAAAATGAAGAGTTATTAACTTTATTAAAAGTTAAGTAGATTTCCTTCCCTGTCTGGTTTTATACTCTGGAACAGTTGACATATACAAAGGATAGATCACAGGCCCCTTCTTCACTGTCTGGGCTTAGTAAAGGTCACAGGCCCCCCTTCTGCACTGTCTGGGGTTAGTCCTCACCAACACTGGGTTGTCTGTTTGCCTGGGTTTTCTTCTGCTGATGCTTTGGGGAGAGTAAGACTGTAGGCTAGTAAAAGAAAAACAACTTCCCTCAAAAGGAAAAGGCTTAGAATTCTGAACACCAAGAATAGAAATGTTTCTTGTATACTTATTCTTCCTCATTTTTAGAAAGCGAGTCCATTATATAGTCTTTAGAAAACACTTATTTTGCAAGTATAGTTTTAATTAACAAGTCATAGTGTATATATTTATGGATAATGGTGCGATGTTTTGATATATGTAGCAGTGCTGAATGATGAAATCTAGTATTCATCATCTCATTGTTGTATGAGGTAACTGAATCTACTCAGTTTAAATAAATGTACACTATTATTAACTTACATCGTCGTACATCTTACAATTGTATTTCTCCTGATGTCAACCTCTTATCCTTTCCAGCATCCAATCCTTTTATGTTCTTTCTAGTATTTCCATATGTCAATGCAAATCAGTGCACTTAGCAAATCTTCCATGAACGAGGGATTTCATTCTTAAAGAGTGGATGGCTGAGTTTGTTGTTGTTGTTGCTTTTAATGCTTTGTAAAATATTATTCTCTAGATTCTCAATATAGTATATTCCAAATTTTAACAATTAATTTTAAAAACAAAAGAAAAATTAAAATCCTGATTTATTGTCTCTAGTCATGAGTAAATAGAAAAACGTGTGTGGTTTTCGTCTCTGTACCAGGCCTCATTTCCTTGTGGCTATTATTGACAACAGCGTTCTCTTCGTAATGTCTTTCTTTGCCTGTAGTTACTTTAACATGCTTTTTGCATTATTTAAAATCTTTAATCTTGACTTTCAGAAGAAACTCCCCCCGCCTGTCAGATCCACTACTGGGGGAGTGTTTGTTCTTTGCTTAGCCTCGAGTTCTTTGAAAACTGCTCACTTTGGTTATTTAATTTTGCTTTATTAGAAGAGTCAGTGGTTGATCTCCTGTTTGTTGGGCATGTATGCTGATGTGTGTGTGAGAACGGAAAGAAGCGGGATACCAGACTGACTCCTGTGTACACATGGAACCTGTTCAATGAGGGACATGGACATGTAACCAAGAATCACACAGTGTCTAGTTGCAGCTGAGATGTTCCCTATAAAATAATAATCCCTGGTGCTGTACTGGGAAACCACCTTAGCTGAAAAGTTGGCGGCATCCCTCTGAAGGCGGAGACTCGTGCGAGGGTGGCCAAATGGTCACTGGCAGAAGAAGGACGTTTAGGAGGTGGTGAGAAGCACTCTAGCCAGAGATGACCGAATTTCTAAATATTAAAAAATTAAACTCTATCTTCGTTACATATTAAACCCAGTTTGGAGTTTGGGAGGTGAAATGAGTTGCCCAGACTCATACTTAATGAAGGTAAGGACCTGGACATGGATGCTTGTTTCTAGCCCAGTATGGCCACCTCTACCTTGAACCTTAGTAAGTTCTCTCTCTCTCTCACCATTCCTTCTTCCCTCCTCCCTCTCCCCTCCCCTTCTCCCCTTCTCTCCTCTCCTTCTCAATCTTTGAGGCAGGGTCTGCCTGTTTATCCTTGGCTGTCCTGGATCTGTGTAGACCAGGCTGACCTTGGTGTTTCTGCCCCCAGGGTTACAGGTGCACACCACCACACCCCACTGAGCTGTGCTTCTTAATGGTTTCTTTGCAGCAAGGAAATAGACTGGGGAAGATATCAGTAAGCCAAGAACTATCAAAAATAAATAGCTGTTTCTTCATCAAAAAAAAATTAGTGAGCAGTTTGAAATCAATGGCTTATATGAGTCAGAACTGTAACGCAGGACTCTTACCTTCGGCAAGAACACACAGAGGGTAAATTGGCATCCACAGCGTTTGACTGAGCCATGTCAAGATAGTGTAAGATGTTCCTATGACTGACAGCATGCTGTACGTGTACCTGGAAGGAAATGGGTATCATTTGTATTCATAAGTATCATTTGCTGCTGCTGTCTGAGATAAAGAGAAGAAAATGCCTTCCTACAAATTAAACACTGGAATAAAATTGGAAGTGTGGGAATTACATGCTTTATTTCCTATAATTTAAGCAAGGACAAGGGTGAAAGTGGTGTATTGTGAGGTGGGAAGCCTGTCTCCCTGGCTTATCTCGTTGGGTGGATCATAGATAATTATACAGTTGAACAGAACAAGAATGTAGCTCTTACCTCCTTCCAAGAAATTACAATTATAACCTTCCATGATTAATGACTTCAATTTTCTTTAAAAGCCAAGCTCGTTTTGTGCAGCAACAGCTAGGCTTCTTGAAAAGACAGAGCTATTTGCACATATTGTAAAGGATGAATTTATTAAAACATAACTCCTGAGTTGACACCTACCATTCTCTGTGTCTTTGGCTTTGCCCCATTACACAGTAAGAACTGGCCTTGGGAGCAGGTTTGGGGTGTGGTAGGCCACGTTTAAACCTGCTAGTGCAAAGTATTTGATGTACTTTCATTTATCTGAATAAGCCAGTGGTGTCTACTGATGTAGGTGGGTATACTATATCTGTTGCTTTCATTGGTTAATAAAGAAAACTGCTTGGCCTGATAGGTTAGAACATAGGTAGGTGGGGAAGACAGAACAGAATGCTGGGAGAAAGAAAGCAGTGAGACGGACGCTATAGCTCTCCTCTCCAAGATGGACGCAGGTTAAGATCCTTCCCGTTTAGCCGCCACCTTGTGTTGCTACACAGATTAATAGAAATGGGTTAATCAAGATATGAGGGTTAGCCAGTAAGAGGCTAGAGCTAATGGGCCAAGCAGTGTTTAAAAGAATACAGTTTTCGTGTAATTACTTTTGGGTAAAGCTAGCCGGTGGCCAGGAGCCCTCCCTGGTGGCGGGAAGCAGCCCACCGCTTTTTCTACAGTCTATACTTCAGCAAACCTCAGAATTACCCAGATGGTCTATTGACTCACAAATTACTTTTCCTTTCTTTCCTCTGAATTTAGTTCAGGATCCCAGCCCATGAGATGATACAACTCCCATTCAGGGCAGCTCTTCCTCTGCTGAACTCTGGAATCTTGTGAAACACCCAAAGGTGTGAGCATCTAGTCAGGTTCTCAGTATAGACCAAACAGTAACTAGTAATCTAATTCATCTATTTATTTTCTTTTGTTGCTTGTGGTTTTAGTGTCCTGTCTAGGGGTACATTGCCAAATGTAACTTGATCTGTTGCATGCAGTGTCCAGTTGTCCTGTTACTGTTTAAGATGACGCTTTCCCCCGTTGAATCTCTTAGGACCTTTGTCAAAACTTAACCAAAACTAGAAGACGTTATTTCTGAACTGTTGATTCTATCGTCTGATTGGTCCATATAGTAGTACCACACTCATGATTATTGTTGCTCTGTAGTAAGTTCTGAATTGAGAAGAGTGAGACCAAGTGTGTTCTTATAAAGGTCTTGACCCATCTGAGTTCAGGTGTCTCTGCGAATTTTAAGATCAACCTCTCAATTTCTGCAGCAAAACCAGTTGAGACTCTAACAGGGCTTTCAGTGACTCGGCAATTTTGATTCGGGAGTATTTTCATCTTAACAATATTGTCTCCAATATGGAATGCCCTTCCATTCACCAAGCTTATTATTGTACACGGTCTGCTTATTTTTGTTAATGTATTCCTACATACCCCATTCTCTTGGAAGTTATCATGAACAGGATTACTCTGTTATTTTCATTTTCAGATAGTTCATTGAAAATATATAGAAATACACTGTTTTGTATTGATCTTGTGTTATAAACTCTGATGAACTTGTTGGTCATTCACAGTTTTCTACGACCTGGATGCACTTTTCCCCTAGTTGCTGTGGCTAGAAATTCCAACACAGTGTTGAACAGTATGGTTGTCCCTATTGCATCCTTAGGAGGAATTCATCCATCTCATCATTAGCTCTCATGTTAGTTGTGGTCTTTTCACAGGTGCCTTTCATGGGCTGACTAAGATCCCTGTTCGTTATTTTCTATAAACAAATTATTTCACATAGATTGAGATGATATTTTCACTCCCATTTTGCAGAAAGAAAAACACCATCAAAAGAAGAGCCCAGGGGGTTTTACTGCTGGCTATAAGGAAAACAAAAACTTGTGCGTGGGTGCTCATGGAAGTATTTCTTCTTTCCAGAATGTGGGAATAATGCAAATATGCATCAACTATGTGGACAACCCAGAAATATTGTGGTGATTTACAATGGAATATTATTCAGCCACAAAATGCCACGAAATACTATTACATGCTGCAACACCATATAAACCTTGAGAACATTATTCCAAGTAAAATGAAGATAGTAACAAGAGACTTTATATTCGGTGACTGCATTTATATGAAACATAAAATAGGGAAACCTACAGAGATAATATGAGAATGGCTGCCAGAACCTGGGGAAGGAGGGAAGCGGGAGAGATGTGCACATATGGGCATGGTATTCCGAGTGGCTAATAAAGTTCTTTGCCTGAATAACAGTGATGGTTGTGCATCTTTTTGAATATACAGAAACTCACACATTTTATATTTTAAAAATTTAAATTTGTGGTAGGTAAGTTATATCCCAATAAAATTGTTTACAAAAAGGTAAGTGATTTTCCCCAGATTGTGTAGCAAATAAGTAGCAGAGGTTGGTTTCATCCTGCTGTGTCCTCTGAGTCCCCAAATCATCCCATGAAAGTCTGTTACCACTTTCAGGACAAAAGTCATTTTGTTCGGCTTGAGTCTGCCTGAAATTGGATACTGAGTTAGACAGAATCGTATTCCATTATATCGGAAAGCTGTGGTCCCTCAGGAGGAGTCAATGCCTTGTATAAATAGGCAGTCACAGGCTACAAAAGTCCTAGTTTAAAATTCTATTTTTAGAACATTAAATAGCTTTCTAAGTCAATGTACAATCTTTCCTAGGACTCAACCCATTGTTGAGGCTTTATTTTTAACTCAGCCAAGTTATTGACAGTAGAATAAAAACAGATTTATACAGTTTCAGCCAAAAAGCCAAGACTCTTTGGGACCTGTTGCCATCCAGATCTTTGGAGCAACAGCAGTTCCGGGGATGGCACAGAATGACTAAGCCATTGGATCCCACCGGAGTCGTGTACAGAAATGGATATGGGGTACATTTTCCCCAGAGAAATGAGGTCCTATTTTAAAATATTCCTTAAGTCACAAAAACCAATTATTGTAGCTTACTTCTCTTTGCTGTGATAAAACATTGACCCAAACTAATGCGGGAAAATAAAGATTCCCAGGTCATAATCCATCACTGAAGGAATTCAGGGCTGGACCTGAAGCAGTGACCAGGAACACTGCTTGCTTACTTGCTTCCAGGCCCACGGCAGGACCTTCCTTCCTCTATAAATTAACAATCGAGAAAATGCCTCCACAGGACAATCCGGTGGAGGCAGTTCCTCAGCTGAGGTGTCCCCTCTTCCCAGGTGTCAGGTTGACAACTGAAGCTAACTGACACCAAATTTGGCTTCTGACAAGTAATGCAAGTCCTGTATTGCTTATTAAAATACTGCATGTTGGAGCAATGATAAATGCCTTCCATTTGTACATAGCTGTGAGTTCATTCCAGGTCAGTGTCCTGGCAAAGCCTCGTGCTGGGAACCTGGGGATTCGGATTTGTACTTGGAATACCAAAATCGGTATTTGTTTTCTTTGATATGTCCATTATGGGAAGCTCTACCTGTATGTTTCTATTTCAATATAAGCAATATGCAAAGAGGTTGTTTTTCTGTCTCATTCATAGTAACCAACGTGAGAGCCATTACTCATTTCACTAAAGCAATTTTTCCTTGTTTTAACAGATTGGTTGATGATTGACACAGGCTCTGACCTGTCTGGCCTCAAGTCCTGGCTGGCCTTGAACTAGCTGTGTAGGCTAGGGTAGCCTTGAACTCACAGAGATCCACCTGTCTTTACCTCTGAGATAAGGATGTGCACCATGCCCACTATGCCCGGCAACTTTGTCTACTTACCTTACCATGTCCAGGAGATTCCAGAAGATGAATAAAATGCACACCACATATTTCTCTTGGATTTCCTCTTGACTGGTGATCACCCCAAAAAGGATGACCACTCTCTCTGTGAGCTAATAAAAAAAAATTGAGAAATAGGATCATCTGTTAGGCTATTTAACTTTTCAATTTTAAAATCCAGGGCTCTGTTTAAAAGAAATGCCTTAACTGGAAATACATTTTCTAAACTATTAACAATGGCTGTCTCTGAAAGAGCTGGGTTATGGATGAATTTAATTTCCTGGTTTTTTTTGTTTGTTTTTCTGTACTTTTCTAATTATATATAATGAAACAAATATAACAGTTTACCTAAGTCAAGATATTTCCTCTCTTCTTGACCTACACACATTTTTAGCTCACTTTGGCAAGCTCCTACCTGAGTGTCCTCTACCCAGTAGGCAATGCAGTGAAAACGATCCCTCCTCCAGAGCTGGTGGTGGGGAGGGTAATTACAGGGCAGGATGCCGAGGCGGGGTGCACAGCTAAGGAAGGAGATACTTGCTGATGGAGAAAGGGATGCGAGAGGTTCCTGAGGACCAGCAGCATCTCAGCGGCCTCCTGCTGCGTGGACTGGAGTTGTCAGGCAGAGTGAATATAGGAAGGCGTCTAGACAAGAGCAGCCTGAGCAGAAGCAGCAGTGTGACTATGTGAGGTGCCCGGGGAGGAGCAAGAATCACGGAGAGACTGGAGTGGGTGGCATGGAGAAGGAAAAATAGGGAAAGAAATTGAAAATGCGTTTGGAGCTGGGTTGTAAAGGGTTTTGAATGACAGGTCAGGAAATTTCCATTTTAATCAATAGAGAAGCCACTGTAATTTTTTTTTCTTTTTGTGGGGTGGTAATATAACCCTAACCTTCATAAGCCAGTGGAAAATGGAAAGAATTTAACACATTCTTGGAATATATGTTATATATGCCAAGTTACAAACATCTAAAGATCACTGAGACTTCACATATTTTTGGCCTAGCTCCAATTACCAGCTTAAATCAAACATCATCCTCATTCCCTCCAAAGTATAAAGTCCCCTGTGTTATATTAACATAGCCTTAGAGTCTACATTTTTGTGTTTTATAGGGCATTTCTCTTTGCCCTCGGTGGTCAAAAGATTGAGATTGATGTGGCATATTGGTGGCCAAGGGAAATAAAATAGAAAGGGGTCATTTGTCATTTTTCATAGCCAACTTTATTTTTTTAAAGCTGATTAAGGAGAAAAACTCTGGGATAATCCACAACAGAATCATGGGATGTTGCTGTAAAAAAAGAAAAAAAATCCAAGATTTGCCAATAGCAAGTCCACATGATCGGAAACCCACATGTACGAGCTATGTCAGCGTGTTTCTGACTGCAGAGGTGAGTCAAGAGGGCCCTTGCATGGCGAAGGGGAATTAGATATGATTCAAACTGAGTCAATCTATGGGAGTTATCCACAGGGCTCTTTTCCCTTGGTCAGTCTTTAAGATACAGTGATCCGGTTGCTTGATTTATCTTGTATCTTTATGAAGTCTTCTAAGCTGCAGTTTAAATAACTGGATAGCCCGACCTGACTGCAGGACTCCTGGCAGCTTGTGAATGAAAGACTTGAGCATCTCACAAATACTTAGGCACTATCTCCTCCTGCATTTGATTAATGCCTAAAACCCAGAGAACCTATGTTTTTGCTTAAAAAAAAAATCTCAGGAAGTACGCACACAGAGATTCATACAGCATAGATTCCTAATCTCATGATTGGGTGTTTCAAAACCTAAGATCTATAGTATCTCTTTGCATAGAACATTCTAATAGTAGCCTGAACCCACTCTCACTTGAATGAATCCTGGGAACCAGAAAATTTAAATGCTCTGTCCACACCGTGGGTGAGTAGGAAGCCCAAGTCTCCTAGTCACTGGATTTGTAAGCAGCCTACGTCAGGTGCTCTGTAATGGTGAGGGCAGAGGAAAATCTCCCACTGGGGCTGAATGATGAAACCGTTAAAAATGCCAGTGATATCAATGGAGACTCTGTGGCTCTTTAGTGACGGGGTCTCTAGTTACATGGAAATGAGCAGTGGGTGTGCCCCCAAGTGCCAACCACAGCATGCATTTAAACCTAGAAAGAGTCCTGCCATATGCATTGTTACATAGTATCGGCCTAACTCATTATCTGATGGTTATTTAACTATACCCAATGACAGCCCAATAGAGGCAATTGGTTAGAGATATTAAGTTGATAAAAGTCAATACTTAAAATTTTCTGCCAATTTCCAAATTTACAGTTTTTTATTCAACCGCCACAGCGACTCTAAGAAGTCACTATTACTGTTTATTTGCCTTACCCAAAAGCTGGTGTTTTGCTGGGCTGAAATCAAAATCTAAACTCTAAGTCCTGTGTTCTGAAATACCAAACAAAATCTTTTCATTTTTGTCACTTTGGGGACCACTCCAAACCTAACATCCAGTCTATGGTCTGTTCTTTAAAGGAGTTTCTGCAGCTGCGTAGATGGCTCAGCAGGTCAGGGCGCTTGCAGGGAGCCTCTTGACCTGAATAAGCAGCCCTGGAACCCTCATGAAGGTGTAAAGAGAAGGGACTCCTCAGCCTTGTCCCATGATCCCAACATGTGCAGCCTGCACATGCCTTTTTAATTAAAAAATACTGAAGTTATATTGTTAAATAATAAGGTACTTTATTACACATGGGTGCTCAAGCAAGAAACTCAATAAAGTCAGTGGTCCACACTCAAAAGAAGGCATGAAGGTGAGGCTGGGGGAGGGGCACGAAAATGGCCAAAATTCATTAGTAAATGTATGAAACTTCAAACAATGTTTTTTAAATTTAGGAAATAGGAAGAATGAAGGGATAAAAACAGCACACCAACTATAGGAAGAATATCTCAACTCTTAATAAGTTTCGATCTCAAAATTATTTGCCAAATAAATTTGCCAAAATTTAACTATTTTAAATCCTATCAGAATTTTCAAAAACCACAAAACACATTTGTATGCTATAGATGCTTGAATGTGAAGAGATGTGTGTACACATGTGTGAACATGTGTGTAGAGCCAGATGCCGATGTCCAGTGTTTTCTATCACTGTCCACCACATTTAAGACAGGTCTTCACTGAGCCCAGAGCTCATTGATTCGTTAAGACAAGCTGGTCAGTAAGATCCAGAGGTCCTCCTTCCTCCCACTGCCCAGCACTGGGATTAGAGGTGGATGCCACCGCACCTGCCTCCCTGTAAGTGTTATTAGCTGTGGGGTGGGAGGGTGATTGTGTGGTGTGAATGCCATGGTACACGTGTGGAGGTCCAAGGACAACTTTGGGGAGTTGGTTCTCTCTCTCCACCTTCAGTGGGTCCCAGGGGATCGAACTCAGCTTGCCAGATCTGTGGCACAAGCACTGAGCAATCTCTCTAGCTAAAGACATAAATTCTTTAAAAAAAATACTTTTTATAAAACATTTATTTCTGTGGAACTTATGTGGAGTACTGACTCAGAACATCTAGGAGGTTCTTGTTTTAATGTCTAGTTTTTTAAGGAGAAACTCCACTAAGAAGCAGAGCACTGTCTGGATGTTAGTTTTGGAGTGGCCACCAAAGTGACAAAAATGAAAAGACCAGAAGATAGTACTTAGGGTCATACTGTCCAGATTTCAGTTCCAGATCTGGAGGAAGTAGTGTTTGCAGGACATTTTCCTGCAGAGATAATGAAAACTCAGTGGGTTTTAAAAAAGCCATTCTACATTTGTAAAATTATACCATGAAGAGAACTTGGTACCTGTCCACTGAAGAACTCCATGGAGCAAAGTGACAAGGGCTAAAGACCCTAATGTTCCCATAGAGTGAACTCTATGTATAGTTCACTCCCCAAAGCGTCCAGCTTTGGACACTTACCCCTCGACACATCAGTGGCTTAACCTCTAGTAATAAACAGAGAGCAGGCTCATAACCTACAGGGAAAGAACTCTGGGAGAGTTTATGGGAAGTTCAGAGATGACCTAGTCTAGCAATGAAAGTCAGCTGCTTCCCAGCCTAGAGAAATCAGACTGGAAGTGGCTGTCCTTCACACTGGAATTAGATACTCTCCTTCGAGATTCCTTCGTGTGTCCCCCAAGGGGCTGTGACAGAGCTCTCCTTGCCCTCAGCATAGGTAGGAGACAGAGCTGATGACATTAGTTAATACAAAAGTGTTTCCTGCACTCGACTATCATGGCTGGAACCTGTGTGGAAGTGATAACTTAGGGGAAATCATTTGTAGTACTTTGATTTGTAGATTTTTTTTTAATTGCATAAACGCGCTTAAGGAATGTGCAGCAATGTTCATGACGATGACAGAGGGACAGGATATGACATGAACCACTCGAAGTCAACTGTCTTCTTCTGAGAGTCTCCTACAAGGTGTACCTGTCAAATGCTGTGGTACAAAGGATTATCTGGGGTTGTTTCCCTTTTTCTAAGTTGAAACATCCACAGATTTTATCAAGAAAAACTTCTAAGGCTTTGGCAAAACTGAAGACTGAACAAAGCCTTCCAAACCAGCATGGCTGTATTCCCATTTTACAAAGGCAAGGTTTTGGTTTTCCTAAAGAAGTCGATCAAAATCAACGAATGCCATTTAACTTTTTTTTTTAAACTAATGCAATGAAATATGCAAGTTTGTCTGGAAGGAAAGGCAGGGGAGGGAAAGCGCTTAGCTTTCCTTGACATGGTCATTTTAGCATGCTTCTTTTGTATCTTCAATTTCCCACTTGAAACCAAGACTATCGGAGTTTGTTATATTTCTGTATATAATTTAAGTGATATATAACTAGTATAAACAATAAGTCTCTAAACAGATTCTTGTGTTATACTCTTGGGTTTTTTCTCATAAGTAGTTTTTACAAAACAGGTATCTGTTAAGTAACTACTGTCTTATAGTGTGTGCTTTCTCTGCTTTTTTTTTTGTTTTAGCAATTGCATATAACTTTAAAAATTATAGCTTTTTGCTTCTTGTCAGATCTGTGAGTGTAAAACAATGATAACTCAGAACAATGAACAAACTGAAATCAGCGCCAGCTCTCGCCAGATGTTAACGTTAGTTGTTCAACTGGCTAATCCAATCCATTGTTCATGCTAGCTAATTCGTTATCTTGACGTTTTTGGAAAATCTGTTCTCAAAAGGGCACATTCCATCGTAGCTTTGCAGTGCTGTGAAGGTAATATCATAACAACACCACGACTCTATAGACACAGCTCTTGTTCTCTTTGGAGCAGCGGGACAGGATGCATTAAAATACCACGTCCAGGCAGTCATAATCTATGTAACTAACTCTGCTCCTCTAAGTCCCATTTCTTCTTTTAAAAATGGGGAAATAGGAACACCACAAACGATTACACAACCTAGGCTTCTGTTACATTATTTTTAAGCAGAGTACTTGGGGGTCGTCTCCTAATGAAAAAATTCTAATTATCTGCAGAACTTTAATGAGGAAAGACATCAAATGTAAGACTCCACCTCTGAGGCCCTTATAAAGTCCTTTTAATGTCGTTCCCATTCCTAGGACAATGTGATAAAAACAACAGAGGGCACATACAACTTCAAGTAAGAGAGGAAGCCAGACTGGGCACATCAAAAGAGCTGTGCTCATGTCTGGGTTGCTCATAGCCCGGAATGCTCGTCCTTGGCCCCGGCACCCTGATCCCTGCTTCTCTTTTGCCAGCACTGAAGACTTAAAGGTCACTGGGTTCCGTTAGCATTGGATGTAGCAAACTCACTGATCAATAAATAAATGTGTAAGTGTTTTTGCTACTGTTTTTAAGTGACCAAATTAGGAGCTGGTTCTTCGTTTTCAGTGGTGGTTCTTTATGCCATTTGAAATTTAATTATTGTTGATTGAAAACCACACTTGAATGTTCTGGAATTGGGGTATGTCTAAGAAATCAGATATCTCAGTTCTACAGTAATTTTGATTAGGCAAGTCTAGGTAATTTTTGTCAAGCAAACAGTATGTGGATGTTTTCTAGGGATATTTCAAGTTCTCACTCAGTTTTCTTTCTTCCTGACTAGGTCTAGACCCGTGCATTAGCAACAGCTGAACTAACATAACCTTTGGTTTTGAAAATTCTGGGTTACCAAGAAATTAGTAATAGCCAATTTAGCCTAAAAACAAAAAACAGAAAAGGCCAAAAGCCCTTTAAGGAGAGTGAAAGTGATAAGCTGACTCAGACTTTATATGAACGTGATACAGCCACTAGTGAATAATCCCATGTAACAGGACCCAGCTCTTATGGAATCTGAGTCATTGGTCTCCAAAGTTAGTGTCTGCTGTGCACACTTCGGCATTTTCACAGTGCAGCAGACCCACTAAGTCAGAAATACCAAATCTTGTTTCTCAGTGAATCACTTCTGTGATTGATCCCTGCCCCCTTGTTAGTTTGTAAAGTGACGTGTTTAAGGAGATCCCATGTAGCGCTTGGCTGGTTAATATTAACCTAACTATATCGTACATTATTACCCCCTGTAACATTTGATATCTCAACACCTAGAATGCCTTTATTCTAGTGAATAGTTCGCCTCTGTTTTTGTATACTAAGTAAAATTAGATGTACGCCATATCTTTTACAGCATTTGTGTGTGTGTCTGTGCACTTGTGTCCCCACACCATGTACTGCAGTTCGTGCATGGAGGTCAGAGGACTGTGAGTACCAGAAACTCAGGTCCTCAAGCTTGGCAACACCCAGCCATCTCTCTGGCCTGCTCTTGCTGTGTGCATCCATAAATATTTTCAGTATATGTAATATTGGGTTCTTGCTAGATTCATGAGGGTTCTACTGTTACCTGCATCTTTTAAATGTTCATGGTATTTCAAGCAAATTAGCACAGGGACCCACGATGAGCAAGTTTTAAGCTCTATGTTTATGGTCTAAGCACTTCACTGGGTATTTAAATATGTTAAGATTCCAATATTTTATGAAATAGTTTGTTTTCCAGTTTCTTTTGAAGATTCCTACAATTATGCTCATTGAGATGACTTTTCCAAACCCTGGGGTTTTGATGTATGTCCATGTAGTCACCTAGTCCTTATTTTGTCTTTCTCATGGAAAGTCTCATTTTTGATTATTTTTTTAATCTTAATTCATCAATGATTTCCTATATAGAATGTCTACCAGTAGTAAATTTTCAATCTTCTGTCAACCTGCCTTTAAGACAAGCACTATCATGTTGGGTTTTGATCCCCTATTCTTTCCCATCAATGGCTCAGTGGCTATGGTGGTATAACCCCACAGTGGTCAGTAGAAGAGCCAGGCCTCAAACCCAAGTCTAAAGGCTTCAACTCCGAACCTGTACATTGTCTTATCTACTTCAGAAGGAGACACATGGAAAGGGGGAAATGGCCGTGGAATCTCCAGGACAGAATCCATGCAGGCCACAGGCTGAGCAGCGGCACTCTCTAAACACTGACAGTAGGCCGTTCTGACTGCTGTAGTTTAAGGCAAGGGCATCCTATGTATGAATCTTGCCATAAGATCACTAGGGACTATACATAGGACAGAGTCAAGAATTAAAGAGTCTATAATAACAGCATGATTAAACTCACCTGCAGAAACCTTGGGAAGAGATGGTTTGACTCGATGCCAATATAAATGTGCAGCAGCTCCAGGAGGGATATGGACTGGCAAACCCGCATAACCAGCCCGATGGCATAAAACGTGTCGACCATTGAATCTGTGTCAGTGACAGAGATGGGCACAGGAGTCAAAACCGCACCAGAGTGCATGCTTGTGGAGTGCCGCAAAATACAACTGAGATACACTTATTGTTTGTGCAAAGATCACTCTAAATAAGTTGTTAAACTGTAGCCGTGTGGTACAGCCCCACCAAGTACTGTGCTACTTACAAGAAGTACTGTTTAGTACTTACAAGAAGTACCGTGGGACAAGAAGTACTGTTTAGTACTTACAAGAAGTACCGTGGGACTTATAGGAAGCATGTGGATACTTACAGAAAGGCATGTATAGTTCTTTTTTACTGGTCCTCTCCCAAAAAGAACTGAAACTTATGAAGTCTTCACAGCCAGAGTTGTATTTATTCCCATTATGTGAGATTCTCATGCAATTCCCACATAAATATAGTCAGACAGAAGCTAACCCCCTTGGGGTGTAGATAGTTTGGGAATGAACTTGCTAAAAAAAAAAAAAAAAACTGATGTGCTCAGCTTTTTCGTTAACAACAACAACAACAAAAAAATCCAGAGAAATTTTATAGAAAAGACACTGATGAAGCTGTGATTTCAGACACCAAGTCGATCTGCGCTTCGGTCCTGACACACTGGACTAGTGACTTTGGGTTTGTTTTAAGCACTGAATTGTGGAGTTGGAGTTGTTAGAGGATATAACTGAGATGTTCTTAGAGGTCCTCAGAGGGAATAATAATAATAATAATGACAAACATATTGCTTTAAATCTTAAAATCCTGCCACATTTGGAAACTTCTAGTGGTGATTTTTTCTATTTTTACTGTTCCCAGGTATTTGCATGATTATCACTGCCCAGGTATTAGGGTGTATTTTCTTGGTGTCTCTGTAAGACAGGTGCTGTTATCACGAGGCCCCTCTCAGAGGCAGTTCTTGACACACCAATAGTCCATACTCTGACCCACTGCCCGTGCCATTACACAGTGCAGACAGAAGGAGGTAGTGGCGCACACAAGTGCATTGCCTAGAGCAATGGTTCTCGACCTAGAGCTCAAACACCCCGTTCACAGGGGTTGCATGATGTGGGATTCCCCTCTGCACGCTGTGAATAAGTCTGTTTATTACCATTGGTTAATAAGGAAGCTGCTTCGGTCAATGGCTTAGCCAGGCTGGAAATCTGAACAGAGTACAGAGAGGGCAGGCAGAGTCAAGGAGATGCCACGTATCTGCTGAAAGAGACAGATACCAGATCCTTACCAGTAAGCCACAGCCTCATGCCCCTATATAGATTAATAGAAATTAGTTAATTCAAGATGTAAGAGCTAGCTAGAAATATGCCTGAGTCATCAGCCAAACAGTGTTATAATTAATATAGTTTCGGGTCAGGGCAGCCTGGAAATGAAAGAGCAGTCTCCTTCTATGATTGCATATCAGAGATCTTGCGTATCAGGTAGTCACACTACAATTCATAACAGTAGTAAGTTTACAGCTATGAAGTAGCAAAGAAATGTTATGGTTGGGGTCACCACAACCTGAGGACCTGTATGAAGGGGTCACAGCATTAGAAAGGCTGAGAAGCACAGGCTGAGGAAATAGAACTGGTCGCCGACTCCATTGTTCTCAGTCTTCTTTTCAAATGAACAAACCATGTATGTTTCTCTAATCATCTATGGCTGCTACAGTCACAGCGTCATATCATAAAGATGCTGGTGGCTAAAGCCACTTTCCCCACGGGGACACAGGATGTGAGTGACCTGGAGTCTGCCCACACAGCCTCACCTAACCTTGAAGGCACACAACTGATGGCTTCCCACCACTTGTGTCTCAGCTTCTTTCTGTTTGAACACTCCTGGTGCTCCTAGCCGACACTCCTGTCTTCTGCTGTAGCTCTGAGATCAACAAAGGAAAGAATGTATACATTTTCAATGAAGTTGAGACACAGAACGGCTGGTGGCAGCCCAGGAGGCGGTTCTCAATTGATGAGCTCAGCATGGTTTTTTTCCAGCCATGCTCGTGTTTGTTTTTAGCTAAACCAGCAGTTGCTCAAATTGTCGAGTCACCAAACAGTTGTAAACTGTGATGACACTTACTCATGAGGGGATGGAGCACAGAGAGAATGTTGTTTTGACAGTCACTTGGTGATTCATTCTTTAACGATCTGAAATGAATAGTTTAAAGAAACATCTTGACTTTTTAGGAAACTGAAGGAAGCGTATGATTCCAGTCATCAATACCAACTCCACATAGGTAACAAGTCATCAGTGTGCTGTGTCATGTGCGTATTACGTAAGGGGTCAAACGGTCTTGGTGGGGTGCGACATTTGTCATTCAGTTACTGGTAATCTTCAGCTACCCCAAACGTGGGGAATAAAAATGAGCGGAAGAATTTCATTGATTTCTCATTGCTTTGTATAGAATGTCAGGTTGGAATTCATGGATTCCTCAAAATGCATTGAATTTGTGAGTCTGGTGCAGAAGCAAAAAAAAAATCTCAGAGATATGACTTTGCTTCCAAATCCAGCTGCCAACTCTGGGGCAAGATAGGTCCCTTCCCCTCAGTCTCACCTACTCCTTGCTACAAAAATGTTTAAGTTTGAAATAATGAAATATGGTTATAGAAAAACAAACTCTAGAGAAGTGAATGATCCCAGGTGTGCTGAACAGAAGTTCAAAGTGAAAATCTGTAAGACGAGATAAGAACAAGGAATAAAAGTTAAAAATCCAAACTGCTTCATAGTTTACCTTTTCCAAATGAGAAGAATCTGGCTGTCATATTTGTCAGTATCCACGAGTGGCCGCAGAACTGGACGAGGTAATAGATGAAGAGGTACACATCTTTTCTATACCTGTAAACACAGGGACACAGAGCTGGACCAGGTATAGATGAAGAGGTACACATCCTTCTACACCTGTAAACACAGGGACACAGAGCTGGACCAGGTATAGATGAAGAGGTACACATCCTTCTATATCTGTAAACGCGGAAATGCCATTGGACACATCTTTAAATGTATCATTCACACAGAGCAAGCAGAAGAAAAGTTCCACATCAGAGCTCTGTATCAGGGTCTTTTTTGGGGGGTTGGCTCTCCAAACCCACTAAGGTTTGATGGAACGAACTTACCTAACATGAGCATATTGACTGAGATTGCTGAAAAGCTAAGATAGTTCTTTTCCAGGCTTCATTTTCATCTTTGATAAAATTCTAGCCTTGTTTCTCTAGTACTTCCAGACAGCTTTGAAATTTCGAAGGAACAAGGAAGGAGCATGGATGCAAAGGGATTGGTTTGGGCAGCTTGCAGCCCAGTAGCTAGGCTTGCCAAATGAATGATCTTGGAAATGCTGGCTTGCCATTATCAGAGGGGAGTGGTCACAACTGGTGATTTAGTAACTGGACACACCTGACTTCTGAGTACCTTGTGATTGGGTTACTTTCTTCTCACCCCCCCCCATTGTCCTTTACAAGAGAACCCAGTCTCCTTCATCAGACACACATAGAAAGCAATTTAGTTTCTCAAGCCAAAAAAAAAGGAAGTCAAGCTGAGTGTAAAAATGTGTTGTGGATTGCTGGGGAGATGACTAAGAAAAGATTGACAGATTCCTGGTTTCAGGGAGTTCCAAAAGGCAGTGTTTGAAGGGCTCCCCGGTGTGCAGAAGGGTGGATGGAGTGGCCCTGTCCGTGTAAACAAGGACGTCTCTTAGCTGGAGATGGGAAACCTCTGAGACAAGCTTTATAAACTGGGAAGCCGGTTCTCTGGCAGTCAACAGACGACCCAAAACTGCTAAAGGGATTAGGAAGGGGAAACTCCAACCCAACCAGAATCACCTGGCTGTTGGTAAACACACACCCCAGGCCCTAATTTTTCTGGAATCCCTCCTGTGGTGGGCGCTGCTGCCACTGGACACTCTGAAAAACACCCTGCGCCAAAGTCTAGGTCGCCACGGGGACAAGGAGGAAGGGAAGGACTAGTCGGGGTGCACCAAGAGAAGAGGTAGCCATGCAGTCTGTCTTCCATTTCCTCATCTCCAAAAAAGGGGGAAACGGCCCAAGCTTCCGTCCAGAGTTTGAGGAGAAAATAAGATCCGCTAGCACCAGGCAGGAAGAGCAGCGAATGTTGAACAGAATCCGGGCGTTGCCCCTGAGTGGAAGCCGGTGGGTGGGTTTTGCCCAGCGCCCTGGCCCCTCCCTCCCCGCCGCCCTGAGCCCTACCTGGGCTGCAGCCAGGTGGGCAGCACCGAGGGCCCCATGGGCCACAGTCTACACCTCCAGCGCCTCCGGGAAGCAGCAGGACCGGGCAGAGAAAACAGGAGGGGCGGCCCAAGGGCCAGGCGCGGAAGGGCGGGGCTTCAACACACTCAGCAATTTTTTGTTGTTGTTGTTTCTTGTTTTTTTTTTTTTTTTTTTTTTTTTTTTTTTTTTTTTTTTTTTTTTTTTTTTTTTTTTCCTCTCCATCCTCTTACACTCTTTCTGTCTCCTCTTCCTTGAGCCCTGAGTGGAAAGATTTGATGGAAGCCACCCACTTGGGCTGAGTGCTCCAAGATCCCTTGCTCTCTACATAATGTCTGACAGTGGATCTCTGCATTGTTCCCATCTGCTACAAGATGAAACATTTCTGATGATGGCCAAGCAAGGCACTTACATATGAGTGTAGCGGAATGTCATTAGGATGCTTTTTACTGTTACTTTTTTTTTTCTTTGTAGCACAGCAGTATTTGGTTTTTCCCTAGGTCCCTAGACTAAGGAATCTCAGGATCTTGGTTACCAAAACAATGTCAGGTAAGGGTTCAATTTTGTAGGACTGACCTTCAGTCAATTCGAGTATTGGATGGGTTACTCCTACAAGCTTTGTGCCACCATTGACCTAGCATCTCCTGCAGGTAGGACAACATTGTAGATAAAAGTGTTTGTGGATAGGTTGTTGTTTGTTTCTTCCTTGGTAACATGCCAAGTACTTTTTTTGCATCAGTGATGCTAATAAGTAGAGGTAGAAGGCTCAATGTAAACACCAACTCAATTTCTCCATGTTTAATCAGTTATTAATATTCTACAATTTGAGCCTGTTTTCAGCTTCAAATTATTTCACCTGTTTTTCCTCATCTATTTGAGCTCCAATTTTCCGACTTGCTCAAACTAATTTTGACATCAGGAAGTAGAGACAATCAAGAGGGCATCTCCGAAGCTCTAAGGACCCACAGAGAATTTTACTTTCATCTCAGGTCTTCAAGGTTTGACAGCATTCTTTCTGCCTGCCACTTACCCTTCTTTTTTAAAGTAAATTATGAGTGCATTGGGCTGTCATCTTTTCTTCCTTGTATGCATAAATTACATTAAGATTTTTAAAAAATGGTTTTTCTTTGACCTTCTAGGAGAAGACATATTTCAAGAGGGGTA